AGATCTTGAGATCTTCGAGCTCCAGCTTGGTCGCAATATACGGCATAGTGCTTACAATGATGATTGTGTTGAGCAAAACGGGGCTATCCATTTTGAACCCTCCGGATGAACTGACACAGGAAGTACTAAACATTGACACGTGGGATCGCAAAATTACCCTCGACTGAGGGTGTGTCTTAACATGCCCGGTTTTGCTGCAGTTTGCTCTGCTTTGCCCGAAGAGGTGATGTGGCGTGCTATGAGTGGCTCCTACGTTTTAATTTTTGAGTTTAAGAAAAGTGGGGGCTTACGTTGTCAGCGACAGCCGATGCGACAATTTGAAAAGAAATTTGTGGCTACAAAGCTGACAGACATGCGCTGTCGAAAGCATACTTTCACACCTGAACTTTCACATTTAAACATTTGAACAATTTGCATTCGAGGCAAATTATGCTGGTTACCACCATCTCTTCGAAAATATACTGTAGAATCCGCTTGCACAATCTCCCCAGACACATTGAAATTCCTTTTCCCACGAGCCCTCTCCCAGCATCCTTCATCACATCCCCTAAGAGCATTACCAACTGAAGAACCATCGACTCGTCCAACATGGATGCATCCCCATTTCACCGCACTCGTCGATCTCCAAGATTGCACAAAGTGCAAGCGGCCGGGATTCAAAACTTCCCTACACACACGCCTTCTTCGCCTGCGCGATGTGTCGTTGACGCAGTGCACACATTAAAAACAAATCATGGGAGTGTTCCTTATGATACCGCGTCAACGGATCTCCGTGTGCATCCCGTTTCTTCGGCTCCAGGCGCCCAATCACCACGGCGGCAACGCTCCGCTTCCGACCCAGCTTCATTTTTTGGCATTCCGATTGCTTCTAGACAAGCCTTGCCATCTGTGCCCGTGCAAAACCTCTCAGTAGAAGTCAGTGAGAGACAAGCAAGTCTCAATGCGTTTCCAGCCTTATTAGGAGCCGTCATATTGCACGAAGACGACAACGTCTCGGAAATGACAAAAGTTTACACGTTTCTGTCTTCGCAAAAGAAGGGCGAATTGAGGAAGCTGGGGCGTGTTTGGGGTTGTCGTATGGCGGGCAACAAGTTGGAGCTGATCTTTCGGGCATTTTTGTTTTTGAGCGAGTGCCATCAGAAGAGGCTAGACATCCGACAGGTGGTGGCGTCTAACATTCACTGCTCATCTTTTGAAGAGTACATAAAAGCTCAAGAGCTGTCATGCTCAGGCTGGAAGCCCCCACCGCATTTGTCAGTGATGCGAAATGCGCTAGTGGCCGCCGGGGATAGAGTGGGAGAAAATGGACGCCCCATGGTAGAAGAAAGGGAACCTAACGAGCAGCAAATCGAGGAAAGACCCAGTGCGCCAAACTTTACTATTTCAGAGTTTGCTCGGCTGATTGTTTTAATGAAGGACGACGAAAGGGTGAGAAGCGCACTTTTCAAGCTTGGACAGGAACTAAGGCGCTGTGAACTTGACTCCGGGAACACAAGAGACGCGTTTTGGGGTGTAATTGAGGGGCGTTTTAATGACCAGTCGGTCTTGGTGCATTTCTCATTTACGGGCCATATTGAGGATCCCTCAGTGCCACCGCTTTGCCACAGAAGCGCTGAGTTACTTAAACTACAGTTTAGGGATGCGCGTTCTGTGTTTACAGAAGCATTGGACAGGTGGGCCCGCTCTGGACAAAATGACCCAGACCGGTTTCTGAATTTTTTGTCCAAAAATGGGCAGATGTTATATGCGTCGTCCAAGCGTGCTTTGATCATGTTTGTCGTTTCACGGCTTGGAACGCCGTGCGAAGACACTTTTTTTGTAGAGATGTCCTCAAAAACCATCTGGCAGGGCGGTTATGAGGCAGGGATGGATAACCTCAAACGTGGCTACAGTAACGAAGGCGATGGAGGGGCAAGTGGGAGCAAGAGAAGTAAACGTGCAAGTTTGGGGCAGGGGAATAAGCGAGCGAGCTCAGAGCTAGGAGATATTGTTCAATCGTCAATCGACAGACTTGTGAAAGTAGTTTCAAAATCATCCTCGACGGACAGAGAAAAGCTGGAAATGGAGAACACAAGTGCGGACCCATTCAACTCAGCGCTGAAGTCTTGGCGTGCGGATGACTCGATGTTCGAGGTCGTCGAATCCGCGTTGAAAGCTTTAGACCGCGCCAAGGCTACTGACAACTGCCATTTTATTCAGATTGCCCAACAGCGGTACGAAAAGGCACTCCAAGCATATCGAAATATGTTTGGATAGACGAGCTATCCAGCTCCGCGTGCAGCTGCGAAGCGGCGATGTTATCAGGCAGAGGCGTAATTCATCTGATGGTCCTTCCCTGCCACTGTCGCACATACGTCGCGAACGCGCCGCAAGAGTGCTCACCATTGCCGCTGCAGTCGAGCCACATGAGACTGCGACGGCGTTGCGGTTGGCCAGGGATACCATTCGTGAGGAGCATTTCACCTCGTTCACCCCGCGTGAGCAAACCTTCTTGCGATACACTCTCAAGGATGGCGTCGCAAGGGGTCGCTTGCGCCGCTGGCGGGGCCGTAGCCAGTTATGCCATTTTAAAAATTGTGCTCCTTGTCATTCCCTTGGTTCCGTCCGAGCTGGTCTCGCGTGCATCCATGTAAGCCGTCTCGTTCGGGGCTGCCGTTGTCGAACTTGCCGCTTTCCCTGATATCACCACTCTCGAGTTGCTGCTCATGAACAACAGTAGTTTGGGCTGCAAAGCACGGAAACGGATCGGGGAATATAACCCTCACCTGCTCCTACTGCAGACGCTGGATATACAGGCAGAGCACGCAGAGTATCGTGTACAAGCAGACACAGATCTGTTCGAATTTGAATCCCTCAAGCACCCTAAATCCGAGTTCTTTGACGAAGAAGTGCACGTTCGATGAACGCAGGGGTTTCAAAATCTGTACAACAATTACGCTCAGACGCGGCGTGTCCCAATGGCACCACATGCCGATGACATTAATAAGCTTAAGACAAACAACGAGGCGCATTGATAGAATTACAAAGCGACGAGACCGCGTGAGTCAAGCAAGTTTACAAGAGTACAAATAAAGCGCGCAGTGCTCCTCGTCGAAAACGCCGGGTTCGTATTAAGCCCCGAGATCCCGCTCGCTGCGGGATTCGAGTACGGGTCCGAAACGGAATTCACCCCCCGGGCGTACATCCCCCTGGCATCCGCATCGCCATCCCTTCCAGTCAGAGGCCCCTTCCCAGCAGGATTCACCTTGGCGCGAGAGTGCAGCTCGGTCATAAGCGACTTGACCTTTGGGGCAATGGTGCGAAAGCGCAAATACTCCTTGGACACGTCGGTCAAGTCGGCATGTCGAAAGCCCGCGCCACTCGCGCGATCGCTCTTGAGGTCCTTCGCAACAGTATTCGCAGTTTCCCTGAGCACAGTAACCGTATGGTCGCGTACCGAAGTGAAGGCGCGCCTCTGCAGCTCGACAAACCTAGCGAGATAACCGTCGGCCTCCGCGACGGCTCCAGTCGAGCTCGATGCGTTCGCCACGCACTCATCCAAACGATGCAGGAGCCTGACGAAGTCGGGGGGGGGGTAGGGTCGATAGCATCCTTCCCGCCGCCGAACTTGGTGGTGAGCGTCTCCACCTCGTCGAAGTAGGTGAGCCTCTTGCACAAAGCGTCCGCCAGCTCGCCCATCTTCTTCCGATCCGAGACCATATTCTCGCAGTCCGACTTGAACCGGACCACGACCTCGTCCACGAGCCGCCTGCCCTCCTTGACGCGGCGCAGCGCCTCGTCCGCCGCGTCCGCCACATGCAGCAGCCCTTCGACCGTGTCGCGATCGCGCTGCGGCGAGACGACCAGCGTGCGGTACTTGTGCTCGTTGGCCTCCTCGAGGCGGCGCTCCATCTCGTCGTGCCAGACGTGGAAGTCCTCCGCCGTGGCGACGGTGGCGAGCCCGCGCAGGCCATCGACGCCCTTGTACGGAGATCTCCAGGGGTCGAGCTGGTGCAACTGTAAAAGTCGAGCGGGCAACTTACTCTGAGCGCAGGCCGTATCTCTGCTTCTTCCCCCTAAGGATGAGCCCCGATTCGATGCATCGTTGGCACCATCTCTGGCGGACGATGCGCTCTCCAAAGAGCACTGCGGCTGCGACGAACGGGATGCCCAAAGCAACGCTGCTGGTGATGACGTAGATGTCGGGCCCGGGCGCATGCTAGAGCATACGCGGCGCGGAGCGTGGTCGGCGGGAGGACGTGCGTGTATGGCAGGTGGCGCGAGGGGGAAGGGGCCGCGCGGTCGGAACGAGGACAGGAAGGCCATTGCGAGGGCTTGTGGCAGCAGCGGAGGGAGGATCGAGAAGAAAAGGAGACGGTCTGGCAAGGTTGTACGTGTGAAACGGGATCCGTTGTTCCAATTGTCGTAATTTTAGTTGGTTGGAAGCTGTTCTGTCCGAAGGAAACGGCCAACCAGGGAGTGCATTGCATTTTACCCGAAGACACCTGCTTTCGAATTGTGTTGGATTTGAAAGCAGCTTTGTAATGTGCGAGAAAGGCGTGTTGCGTCCCAGATATCCACATATCTGTATCTCGATCGAGGATTAGACGCACTGGCCTTTGCACTGCTTGCGCGGCAACAGCAACCGCTGCTGATATGAAGAGGGAGCGTGTTTCTTTTCCACCAAAACCTCCCCCTATCCCTTTTACCTTGCAAACAACCTTGTGCATTGGTACCCCTAACACCTTTGCAACCACGTCTTGCGTCATTGCTGCAGCTTGAGTTGATGCTAGAATTACCATTTCCCCATTCTCGTCTGGTATGGCAATCGTTCCGTGAGGCTCCAAATACCAATGCTCTTGTGCGCCAATGCGAACTGAACCATTGACCGTATGACCATCCCGTTCCGCAACTGCAAATACTTCGCTAACATTTCCTTTCTGGAAGAGAGAAGGAAAATGGTGGATGCTTTTAACGAGAGTCATCAACTACGAAAACGCGGCATCTCGGCGCTACCAACAATGTTTGGAATCAGTTTCAGTTTTCGGGCTCTGAATCAAGCTGGGGCTCTTGTACATATATATCACGGAGACGGATCTGTTTTGATATCCCATGGAGGAGTTGAAATGGGACAAGGATTGCACACTAAAATGTGTCAGGTAGCAGCAACAGAACTCCAGCTCCCACTAGAGATGATATTTATATCTGAAACGGCGACAGACAAGGTACCCAACGCTTCACCCGCAGCTGCGTCATATTCTAGTGACCTCTACGGGATGGCCGTGAGAAATGCGTGCCAAGAATTGAATAGAAATCTCGCTCCATGCAAAGCCGCACTCGGAGATACAGCATCTTGGCTCAACGTCGTCAGCCATGCCTGGTTGAACCGCATCAGCCTGTTTGCGACCGGTTTTTACAAGACCCCAGAGATTGATGATCTCGATCTGGCCAAGCCTGGGTCGACTGGTAGCCCATTCTTTTATTATACAAATGGAGCGGCAGTATCTGAAGTCGAAATAGACGTACTTACAGGGGAAAGCAAGAATCTGCGAACGGACATAGTGATGGATGTTGGACGTCCTTTGAATCCGGCGCTAGATGTTGGACAGATAGAGGGGGCATTTGTGCAGGGGTTGGATTGGTGCACAATGGAGGAGGTCGTGAAGGGCTCGACAGGAGCCCATGCCTGGTTGAGGCCTGGTCAGACACTGACGCTCGGGCCAAGCACCTACAAGATTCCAGGGGTTTCGGACACTCCAGAGGACTTTCGAGTCAAAGTCTTAGAGACCAGAAACGAGAAAGATACGAATCACTCAAGCAAAGGTATTGGTGAGCCTCCACTTTTCCTTGCTGCGTCGGTGTTTTTCGCTATTCGGGATGCCATACGCTCGTCCAGACTGCAATATGGTCGAGATGAATGGTTTCAGCAAGACTCTCCTGCCTCTGTAGAGCGGATAGGACTTGCATTTTGTGACGATCTACTAAGACGTGTCGTTCCAGATGAAGAGGGTGTAAGACCGAAACTCACCCTTTGATGAATCTATCTTGTTAAATCCAACACATTGAAGGGCTGGGAGAGATGCCTTGCGTGCTGCCAGCTCGCAGGCGCCAGATGATGCGCTTGCGCAACAGATAGTCGCCCAGAGCAACGTCACACAGTCGCTACCACGTTCGTCTCCAATCGCACCCCATTTTGTTTGAACAGCATGGCACGCTCTTTACGCGAGAAAGGCCGGAGAAATCGAGCGTGGCCGTTGGGGTGGTGCGGCGAAGGGTTCTCTTTCGGCTTTCGCTTGGAGAAGGGCGTTTATTGGCGTATCAAAGTAAGGACGAGCTCGTGCTGCCGATCCCGAACACCTCAGTATGCACACAGCCCTCACCACGATCAACGGAATGACTACAGCGGATCGTTCAAAAATCGCTGTCCCTCCGTTTCAGTTTAGGTATGTCGGTATTTCGGTGCTGCTTCTGCAGCGCGGAGATGCGTGCCCTCAAGAGGTTATGGAGGTGCTGCCAACTCCACAATCTGCGCCCACCATCAATGCACGTACAGGGGACTTGTTTATTTCGTATGAGGAACCTACAACGTACAGTCGACCGACCTGGACTGGAGCTTAGCGCGCTTGTAAGATATGCGCGGTCTGCTATGGATCTTTCGAAATAATTCCGTACTCTCTAAGCCGCTTCGCCGGCACCGCCTCCAAATTGTTACTCTCATCGCCACTTCGCTTACTTTTATCCACCGCCATGCTGTGGTGTTCACTCACACCTGTCACCCCTCCGCCGTCAGAGCTGCGATTGTCCGTAGAATACAAGTTGACAGGCCGGCATCCTTCGGATATCGAAATCTTTTGTCCGGAATGGTCGAAAGGGGAGCTTCGTCTTGGAACAGTAGGGGAAAACGACGAACCTGTCCAAATACAGAACAGAAGCTTAGTTTAGTCACGACCTCGCTCACGCTCCGCGTTCCCAGCACCTTACTGCAACGGACTTGCAGCCCCTAGCCGATACAGGCCACCACGTCCAAAGCCTCATCCCACCTCTTTTGTGGTCTCAACGCCTTCTAGATTTACATTACTGCAAATCTTGCAGTAAAGCTTGCGGCACACGCATAGGGCGCGCTGTTGGACGCCGATAATCTCCACGCGCAATGATTTCTACAAGTTCTTTTCTTTTCTTCGTTTGTCTAGATCCCCTGCGGTTGACAATCTGTTTGTGATGTTGTTTGCTGATCTCGTACCATCTGTTGCCTGCCTCCTTTATTCTCCGTTCTTCGTGCAACTCTCCCACAGTGCGAGGTACTGCCAGACGCGCGCCATCCTTGTTCTCAAGACAAAAGTTATGAAGCTTCATTGCAAGGCCGATTATCTCCGCAGAATCGTTGACGCTGTACTCTAGGCGCTTCAAAAGTTTGAACTTGTTGACTAACATACCGAAAGACTGTTCCACGTCCATCCTGAGGGAAGAATGGAAGAAATTAAATGCATCCTCCACATCCGTCGCTTGAGAGGACGCAATAGGTGTAATAAGAGAAATACTGCACACATATGCCTCGTCCCCAGCGATCCAAAATTCCGCTCGCAGCGTGCCGGTTTCCAAGTACCGTCCCAAAGACGATACAGCGTGAGCTAGCGAGTCGTGCGTCGACCCACGACAAACTGCAGAAAAGCACAAGAATCGGTAGTTAGAATCGACCGCCGCTTGGACAGGAATCGCATAGTAACCTTTCCGGCAGTAAAAGGTAGCAGGGTGTTCATCACGAGACGGCTTGCGAATTTTAATCGAAATGCCGTCCAGTGCACCGACGCACCCCGGTAGCGGGTTCCAGGGATACCTTGAGGTCTGGAAATCGTCTGCCATCTTCTTTAGTCCGTCATAAGAATCTGGTAAGCCGGGAAGACCCAATTCTTCGTTCAGAGCCTTTCTGGTCTCTCGAAAAATATGATACACCGTACTGCGCCCGACCTCAAATGCGGACATGCAGCTATACGCCGAATCACCTGCCATCAGTCGTAGCAAAATTCCAAGCCTTGCGCGGGGCGAAACAGGCTCTCGACCAGCTCTTCGCGCCATGCAGTCCTCCTGTTGCAGCCGATGGTGAACGAGAAACAGAAGTCGTTCGAAGGAGTGCCTGTCCATGCGGTACGCTTTCGAAAATTCGAAGTCATTAAACATCCGATTGCTTTTCCCGAAACTCCACCCTTGTCGCAAATCCTTTAGCTTGACAAGTCTCCTTTCCTTGTGCGGACAGCATTTGATGGCTCCATGTAGAGATATGATAGCTATAATAACTGCAACAGCTGAAACTACAGCGTTATTTGTCTTACGGTTGTGTGCAATTTTTCGAGATACTCGACGCAAGCGGCTTGGCGCAGGTGGTGCCATTTTGAAAAATCAGTTGGCAATGATGAGCGACACGTAATCCTGCTACATTTTTCTCCTGTCGCTGTGCCATGATCATGAGAACATGGGGACGTCGGGAGGGGAACTAAGTGCCACCGGGGTTGGACCACGTTGTGTATCCATGGGAGTTACGATGGGGATCTGCCACGCAGTAGTCGTGTGCTTCTGGCAGCAATACAGACGCCTGTCAGATTTATTAGAGCCTTCCGTCAGACTCTGTCAGCTAGACGCCGTCAGGAGCACTCCGTATTTGTTAAGAATTTTAAAATATTCCTGGCAAAACCGGGCAAGGCAAGCAAAAACTAGCCTGTTAAGACACACTCTGAGGGCCAGTCCTAACAGGCGCTTTTCTTTTGTTTTCCTTCAACCAGGTGCGGTCACGCTATTGGCCGGGTCTTTCATTAAATTAATCGCACGCCACAACGAATGCTACACAGAACCACTGTAATGCTTGGTAATTCTGCGAACTGGTCGAAATCCATTGGCTAAAGGAAATACCAATCCACACCCAGTCCATATGCACACTACTACAATTCCATGGACTCGATGCGGTGCAGTGGCACTTGCAGTACAACGAAAGGGTGGAATTAAATCCAAATACGAGCACATGCAGATCAAAACATTGGGTCTCTCAACATTACAAACCAGACACAGAACCTTCTCCCGCGATTTTATATGCTAGAAGTTCTCCCTCTCTGTCCGAAGAAACCCACACAAGCCAAGCGCCATGATAGAGGCGCGTAATACTGCTTCCAAAGCTCCCCACTCCCCGCTTGCACTCCGGCGATCTCCTCGACATTTTACGCAAACACGACGTGCAACACAGCGAGCTGTCGAACAGATTGCTTGCGACACTGCACGTGTACTCGATGCCAGCTTCGCGCAGGAACACAATGAATCTCCTTCCATACTCCTCCCCAGAACCCAGGGGCAAACTTCGTTTTTGATTCCCCTTGTCCTCCATCTCCCTTTCGATCCAGTGTTAACTCTTCGCAGGCACCAGCAAGCACTTCTAATAGTTCTCCGAGCTTCAAAGCCAATATCATGGCATCAATTTCTCAGAAATCAACGTGTCCGTCATTTCCGCCAAGTATCGGCGCGACTGCTCAGGACAATATTACTGCTCGCAATGACCGGGTCCTCGACCCACATTCTCAGAGGAAGAGTCGAGCTGCTCCAGAAACACCCGAGGTCATGGACAGACGTCTCATGTTCTCATACTTTAAATCCCTGAAGAAGAAGGAGCATCAAAAATGGCGAGGCATTGGAACAGGAAAGCATACGGAAAACTCAACGAGATCATGTTGAGAAACTATCGGTATGTGGTTTTTCTTCATATTGAAGGTACTCCGTTTAGAGAGACGATATCATCCAATCCATTTTGCCCCTCTTTTGATGAGTTTATGATCAAAATAGACAACCCCGTCCTTTCCAAGCGCGCGCGTATGTACCATGCTCCCTCAGATGCAGAGTTTGACACTGTGTGGGATGCTGCTGGCGATCTAAGAGAGGGTGATACGGCTGAATTAGGCACAAGTTCGGCGGGAAGTGAACCTGCTTTTACATTCTCCGAAATTTCTAGGCTTATCATAATGCTCCGCCATAATGAGCATTGGCGCCAATCTATCAATTTGTTACAGCAAGAGCTGACAAGAGCGCAGCTTGACGCAGCAAGATATCGGGACAGTTTCTGGGCAAGAATCGCTGATCGCTTTAATGACCCTTCCGAGCATATTGAGTACTCTTTTGATGGATGGGTCGAGGACGCCGAACCGAGTCTTCCACCTCTTTGAGTTAGAGCGGCATCTGTACTTAAGGACCAGTATGCGCGAACACGCACTGGGTTCACTGTCTACAAAGATAGGTGGGAGGGTTCGGGACAAAACGATCCGGAAATTTTTAGGAGTTTCTTGCCGACGTTGGATAATGGAAGACATAGCCTTACTGCTTTGGGAAAGCGGATGCTTGTTTTCTTTAAAGTTTCCGGGCTGGGGACGCCAAATTGTGAAGATGAATTCGTCCGGAATTCATCTCGAGTTACGATGGATGGTGGTTTCGATGAGGGTGTACCATCGTTGCACATGCGAGTCGTTAGTGATGGGGTCCGGCCTGCAGAGTCGGAGTCTACAACGGGGCGCCGCCGTAGGAGCTTAAGTGGAAACACTGACAAAGCTGCCGGAAACTTGATCACGGATGTGACAAGCGCGATAAGGGAGTCCGTCTCACGGGAAGAGGAGATAAGCCGGCATTGGAATTCGGGTGAGAAAAAGAGCGTGATGTCGCGGGAAGTGCAGTGGTCGAAGGACAAACAGGGCCTCGTAAACGTGCTAGAGTCTTCATTTTTGAAACTGGAGGCTGCGAAATCCAGACTTGCTCCGACAGAATACATCGAACTACTTCAGAGGCACTACAGCGACTCTCTGAAAGCATCGCGCGCGTCAATGATAGATACGAGAAATGGGTGCAGCGAGAAGTCAACGACGATCAGGACGAGAGATAATTATGCAGTGGGTAGTCATGTATGATGGTGCGCTACAATAAAAGTCGAGGTGTGTTGAGCCTGCGTGTAAAACGGATGCCCAATCTTGTCCGTCACTTTCTTGACAGAATTTTTGTGAGGCACCTCGTGGCTCGGCCGGTCCAATTCCACGCCCGCGAAAATCCTGAACTTGCGTAGAGCCTTGCATGTCGGCTGCCGTAATGGGTTGGTACGCAGCAGCGCTTTCAACAACGCGTGCTTGTCCGTCGACAGTACCATCTTCGGTATCTCGGCCTTACCCTGATTCGCAAGAATCTCTTATCGGATCTTCTCCTCCATGACAAATAAAATCCCCCCGTGAGTGCTTGATAGATAAACACTCTAAGCGTCCTCATATCAAACGCGATTCCTTATTGCTTCTACGCATTTCTGGCACTGCGTACGACAGCGACCCGCAGAATCGTGCTCCTCAAATAGTCGTTGACGCGGTTGCTTTTTATAAGAAACTGCCTAAAACCAATCGCCTAAAACCATTCAACGTCGTTGATGAAGGAAATTGCAATGCTCTTCATCACGACAATGGCCAGCGTTGCGAAGTCTGTTTCGAGACATTCAATTCGTATTCCCGTATTTGAATGGATGTTACTGTACATCATCCTTGATATGCCCGGTTGCGGCTGCAATGTCCTGGCCCATTGCGCGGCATGTACCTTCGAGGCAGGAAGACTCTGAACAGTTCCGCTGCCAACAGTCGAGCGTCCAACTGGACCGACTGCTTCATAATTCGACACAATTTGCTTAGGCGTGGCGTGTGGGAAGGAAGGCGTCGACGCAGCCAGAGAACAGGGAAGTATTAGCAGTGGGTTAGCTACGAATGACGCGAGGAGTTTGCATGCCTTGCCTGAGAAACTTCAGCTGCGTGGCTGACCGGCGCAGGATATGACGATGGGACGGGCGGTGGTCGCTCGAAGGAATGTGCTGCTCCCGAATATGGACCAGGGTTTATCGCCGTTCCAGAAAGCTCGACGTTCAAAGGTGGCGTTGGGTTCTCAGGAAATGACGGGAATCGGCAGTCGTACATATCCAACGATAATTTTATAGAGGACAGCAATCGGCGGATTAAGGTCGGTCGCCGATACATTGTTGTTTCTTCCGAAGGTAAAATATCATCAAATGAAAGTAGATGTGTTGGGTGCCGCACCTTCAGATAATCCATGACAAAATGAATGCGTCGCGAACGCATCACATCAATAGTTCTGATAGCATTGGGATGGGTAGTGTGTGCAGATGGGACATTTTGCGTCCAGGCTGCGCTCCCCGCACGGGTGCAAGTCGCGCGTGTCTATCGGAAAACAGTTGCCACATCCGTTGCAATGGTGCTGATCGATTCCGAGCCCCTTACCCACGCGACAGATGCCACACCGGTGGCAATGGTACACCTCCTTCCCCTTGGAGTCATCAAAAAACTTGCACGCGCCACAAAAGTACCTGCCAACTTGGCAACAAGTGTCGCTCGTCCGGCGCCGTGTTTGAAACACGACGACGCACGAGCGGCAATTGTCGGCGACGGGCTTGTCCTGGTCGCCGCAGGCGACGCAGGCGACCAGCTCTGCAGCATGGCGGTCGATTCCGTGGTCCTCATCCTCATCGAGGCAGCGTCTGCAAGGGTAGTACTTGCCGCAGCAAGCGGCCTTGAGCCAGCAGTTGCGCGCGTAGTTTTCGTAGCACTTGGAAACGCCCTTGCCGGAGAAGCGGCGGGTGGGGTGGCCGGTGTGGTCCGGATCGCGGCTGAGAGCCGGCTGGCGGGCCCCAGCGAAGAGATTGTGGATGCGCTCGGCCTGCTGGGACTCGGAGAGGGCGGGGTCTTGCTGGATGGCGCGAACGGCGTCGTGCATGGCGGTGGAGCGGGAGGTGGGGTGAGGTTCCTTGGGGCCGGGGGCGGCGCGGTCGTTACACGCAGGGACGGCGGGCTGCGGGGAGGAGGGCTCGGGGTGATCGTGGTGGTGGTGGTGCGTTGCACCTTTCCAAATCAAAGAAGTAGACAGTAGTGCCAACCAGTGGTTCAGATAGAAATTGAACAGAATAAATGAAGCCCTGCCCTCGCGTTATTTCAGGACCTAGTCAGTCCGGAGTAATCGCCAAGTTTTGGTATCCAAGTCGCTGTTATTTCAGGATCAGGACGACCCGGAGTAATCAGCCGATTGAATCTGCATTCGCGTGAGTCCAACCGCGGCGAGCCCGTGGGTCAGAATTCAGGCGAACGGATTCTAAGACAGTTGTCTTAGTTGCAAGAAATTGCGTCCTCTCGGATAAAGCTAATGCTGATGTTTATTCTTCCTTACCCTTTTTCTTCTGGAGCTCTAAGCTATACTTCGAGCTACCTTACACGTAAATCAAGGGAACGTTACTCATGGGCTAGAAAGAAGAGTAGATAATTCCGCTTTTGGATTATAGTACCCAATGATGCGAATAGACAGTCCCTTAAATCAAAGTACATGCAGAGAAGAGAATTCCAATAATCTCACTAGGCATACCAGCAAATCAGGCACGTCATAAGTCAACCACATCTTAGTGATTTCTACTTCAGGTATCCTTGGTCAGCGACACTCAGGGTTTTTCTTTTTGCTGGTAATCTAAAAGGTGTAGTTCAGACTCTGTCCACCCCTCTGGATTCACACGAAGCTTGTTGGAGACCATGAGAGACACGAGGGGATGGTTGCTTTCCAAGACCTTCGCCTTTGTGAGACCGTCTGCCGGGTTGGTACTTCCTGGAATCCAACCCAATCTGCGCACCTCCCCGAGTCGATGGGACTCACGAAGAGCCGAAATATCAATCTGAAATCTCTTTTCTAGAGTAGCAGCATTCTTTCCTACGCAGTTGAAAGTTGTCCGAGAATCAACAAATACATCAATAGGAAGATCCTTCCCCAATAGTTCACACGATATATACTTAACAACATAAGCATTATGAAATCCGTGAACCAGCGCTAAGACTTCCGCAGCCATTACACTGCAAGCCACTCTTCGGCATTTTTGGCTCCCGTAATGCAAAATGTTTGCATTGTCTGATCTGTTAACAATAACGATCAAGAAACCCATCTGTGAAGACAAATCTCTTGTATTTGCAAACGATGCATCAGTAAAGAGCAGTATACGAATGCTGGGTTTGTCCAGAGCCACAAACTTCAACTCTAAATCTTTAGTTTCATGACAATAGTCCACCAAGTCCTTCAACCTTCGAAATGTAGATCGGATATGTAGTGCAATGTGCCTGGCAGGCCCCAAAAAGAGTCCGACGGTCAAAAAAAGAAGAAAACAGCAACAGCAACAACCACTGCCGATGGCACGCGTTACGGAGCGTTCGAGACTCCCTTTCCCCTTGTGTGGGCTTGCGGCCCACGGTAGCTCGACTCCAACGGGGGGTTAAGGAAAGATACCCGGCCCGGGAGGATAATGGTGTTAGAGACTTGTGAAGACTTGAGTGTTCGACGAGTGCGGGTTGGGCTTGTCTACGAGAATGTAACTGCGGTTCGCTGGGTTGTAAGGCCAATGCTCGACGAGCGTCTTCAGCACCTTGGGTATAATTCAATGTCTTTGACGGGGGCTTGTTCAGCACTACCCGACGGGATCGTAACCGTGTAGCAACGCTACTACCGACGTGTTGCCCGATGGCTAAAAACGCCCTCACCAGCGCGATCGCGATCGCGGTAGGCAGTACCAACTCTGTCTTATACAGTAAGACCTTCGACGGACGCGTCGTTACGACAGCCTTCCGACGGAACTTGAAACAGTAGCAGCGCTACACAACGTGTTGCCCGATGGCTAAAACACCTACACCGGATCGGTCGCAACCGACTCCAATGGAACCAACACAATTAGGGGAAAAATAGATGTAGAGATAGAAAAGGTAAAAGGATAAGGAAAAGGAATGGGACCTCGAGCAATAGAGGATGTCGTTAGCAGCGTAGAAGGGAAGCGCGTGGCGTGAACGGAAGCGGTCTTCGACGAAGGCGAGATCTAACTCCGGCAACTCGGGTTGTCTTTACTGACTTGGTGGTCAGAGGGCTAAGGTATATATCGCCCCGCCGGAGCCACTACAGTAGCTCTCGGCGCTAGATCCTAGATCTAATCTAATGTTAAATAACTAATATGCAACTAATTAATAATTAATAATTAAAATAATAAAGTGAAATAATTTTCACTTGTCACCCCCCCACTTTGTCATACCCCTCAATTCCTTTTCTTTCCACCCCCTCACGGTGCAGCCGATTATTGCACTACATATTCTCCTTCTGAGCGCCCTTGCGCAACGCGCCGCTCTGCAGAATCTCCTAAGTCTTTCATCCCTTTTCGACCGACGGTCGCCGCGTGTGCAAGGGTAAGACGAAAACCAACTTGTGCCATCGACCTGCGATCCATCGACTCACATGCATCATCCTCAATTGGAGCGAACGGGCTGGAACACTGACCTTGATCCCCATGAGATAAGCTTCTCATACAAGCTTGGCGCATGCCGAGGCCTCTTCCAATTCAACAATCGTTCCTTCCTTTCTGCCACACTTCGCCCTCGAAAAGATGCGAAGTACATTCTCTTCCCTCACGTCCGTCAGCCCCCACATCCGCAATCGGACGCAGCCTCCCTGTAATATCACATCCGATATCACTGTCAGCCCATACGTCATCGATCAGCCGTATAATGCGCTATCCGGAAAACCATCGCCTCATTCGTGACACGACCTCTTTGATTCTTCCCTCTTATGCAAAGGCTGGTCTCGCTTTCCTACTGCCGATTGGGTCACAATGTGTTCCAACTGGGGCCGATGAGGTCTCATTCTGTGGCCTTCTGGCCAGACGAGAGCCAGCAGACTCCGCCGTCAAACCAGTTCGTCACGTGTAAATCACCCGCGAGGGCTCTCCTCACCAATTCTATTATCGGTAACGCTTCGTCTTCAGCCGTTCCTCCTCATTTTCCTAGCGTGCGTCCCCTATTCTTCATTCCCCTTCCTCGTCTCAAATTTTCCCTCCTCTTCCTTCATCAGACGTTCGTGACTCGCGCGTCGAGGCCTCAGCATACAGTTCCGTTCGAGTTCATGCGGCTTCGCTATCGGGTTGGAGTCCTCGTCAAGAGACGACTGACCCCTCTGTGGGGAGATTCTTCCAAGCGTGTCACCATGTTTACCCAACCCCTTCATAGCGACAGACCCGTCTAGTCTCATCATCGCGGCAGGGGAGATATGTTCCTCTCCCTCTAGGTGCAGCCCGACTATTCCTTTCTCGTACTGACGGTGTCGCCTCGTCCTTTGGGTTTCTCCCTTGGGGACTAATTTATCTCGCCAGATCACCTCATCGACCAGCTGGGATACACGTTGTACCATTCAGGCTGAAAAAAATTAAATTGTCGCAGCGGCGTGGATGATCGGTCAGACTGTGACACTCGAGAATGTGAGCAGAGGTCCTCATTTTGCTCCCATTGTGCGTCTCCATTTAGCTCTGTCGCCGACAGCTGTGCGATCGACTATAATTCTCTTTTCTTTCAATTCTTCAAGCTCCTCGAGGCGATTCTCGCTATCGCAGCGGGGTGGCTGTCGCCATCGTCGAGGTTACCGTTCATGTCGAATCAATACGAAATCGCGGTCGTCATTTTGCCGGTGATTTCGTTTTCGAGACTTCTCGGTGGGGTCGCAGGCGAAGGTGTCTTTGAGGCGTAGGATGCATGTGGATCGTCGTCGACGATTTCCTCCTTCATCCTGGTCTGGGTCATTTGCTCGTATCTCTATCGTAATCGAGGCCTACTGTACGATCTAACACATCTTCCCATGGTGACGGCGCTTTTACCGCCTTCGAAAGGCCCGTAGACCTTGCAGAATTATTTCCGTCACCCCTCTTTGCCTTCTACCTTGACACAGCGTGCTGGGAAAACGTTGAGTCTTCCCTCTGTTCTTCGTTCTTGACATCTTCCCTCGTCGCTGGTTGAGCCGTGCGCTTTCTCATTGGTAGAGAAAGGGGCGGTTTAGGTCACTAAAAATATATGATGGGGACTTCGTCCTTCTGTCGCCTCGGAATGTCATCCCCCTCGTTCCGGGTCCCGGTTGAGCCCCCTCTTGATCGTAGCATATCGGCTGACCGGCTTCCGTATTGTGAGGGAGGGTCGCATCTAGGATGTGACAAAACAAAATAGAAAGCAAACCCAACGAAAAACAACAGAGTAGCAGATCGTTATGAATCAGTGCGTGCGTCGAACGTACGCAAGAGAAAAGATACGGGAGCGCCTTGTTTCATTTCAGCGAATTCACAGCCTTTCTCCTCGAGGCGTCGTCCTGCTCCGGGGCTCGCTGCAAGTGCAGACGAGCACGATTATTGATCTAGTACGCTTTTTCAAGTTGATAGCGTGGGTATCCATGAGGTACAAACCGATACCTCGTCAGTGTTTTCCGATTGGGTTAAGGAAGAGGAAATAAAATAGTCATAAACAGACTTGGCACGAAATCTAAATTGTGTGCACGATCGACGGTAATTCTCTTTTTCTTCCAATTCTCCGAGCCCATCGAGACGATTCTTAATTGCGAGTAGCCCGTGACACGGGGCGTCATTCACTGCCTCTCCGTATCCTTTCCAAAAGCGTGTCGGCAACGATCGTGATCTGGTTGATAGCTGCGACGGGATGCGACTTTGTCGCAGTGTCGGAGCGAGAGCGGGGTTAAATCACGCTGCGTCGAACAACGCGTTTTTGATCGCGACAACTACTGATTTCGTAACAAGGAATTCACCTGCACACGTTGACACGTGTATCCCCCGGCCTGGTCGTAAAAATTCATCTTCCCATCGGAGGTGCCCAAGGGAAACCGCTGCCTTTCCCTTCGACGTCAAAATGGCTCTTCGTCTCTGACCCACTCAC